GCCTTGAGGACGCGGTGAAGCAGGCGGTTGTGGAGCGCACGAGAGCAGACGACAGCCAGCTGCTAGAGGAAGACACTCCGCAGCCACACGAGGCATATCGAGGCGATACCGACATAGATGGCTGTGTACGTCCCACGCGAGCCAGGTGTTGCATTGGCCGACCAGTAGCCCATGAACCAATAATCCGTCATGGAGAGTGCGACTTGCGCCATGACAAAAGAGCGACAAGCAGCGTCCCGACGACCACGCCGTTGAAGCCGCTCGCACTGCAGTACGTCACATAGATAGGAGCCGTGACAGCGCCGACTTGGCGTTCTTCGGCGACGACGAGCGTCAAAGGATTGTTTCCGTCTTCCGACGACAACCAGCCAAAGTTGCCGTCGGTGAAGTCAACCGTACAAGCCGGTGGCGTTGACGTTGTCGGTGGTGGCACTAACGACGGGAGCTTGTCCTGAAGCAAAAAATCGCCGATTCACTTCGCCGACACCTTGGCCTCGGCGACGAGACGACGGCATTGGCAAACACCGTGCACGGGTGGCGCGCGTTGTTGATATAGGCAAGTGCCACGAATGCTTGCGTCGCATACAGCGTGTAGCCCTGCGCCACGTAGACGCCAAGAGAGAGTGCGAGCGACAAGACAGGCGCGACGGCGAGCACGACCATGTTGAGAATGCGGCGATTCTGGTAGGTCTGCAAGTACGTCAGCTCCAAGGCGCGCGTGCATGTGATCGCGTCCTCGAGATGGCGCTCCCAGCTGTTAAGTTTGAGCGCGCGGGCGCCAGCCACCGCCTTGCTTGTGAGCTTGAGACGCTGCGCTTGCGTCGAAAGGAGCTGTGCGCGGACATGACCGACCGATGTCGCCGACGCGTACCCGAGGTAGAGCATGCTAAACATCGCGACACTGCCAGCGAGTGCGGGCCACACACCGAGCTCAGTGCGAAGCAGCGCAAAGATGCCGACGAGCGTCGCGGGCATAGTCAGCGTCGTAGCGCCCGAGATACCACCAAGACACCGACGAGACAATGATGGAGCTGAAGTGCCTATTGGAGTGCGTACGCACCGCCGCTCTCTCTGCATCGCGTAGTAGAGGCAACAACGCTGCAAATAGGCTGGTGTAGGCAGATAGTCTAGCTAACCTTGTCTAGCTAGCCGCCCAACGATCCAACGAGGATATCTACAACGGCACTTTACGGCGACGGCGACGGCTTGAACGCTTGCCTTCTACATTGCACGCTTGCCTCACTTCGATACCAACATGTTAAGACAATCATAGCAAGAATCACCCGACACCGAACACCCACAATGAAAAATGGTAAAGCATCCAATCATGATGCCACCAGCAAAAAGTTAGTGCTCCAAACGAATAGCACTCTGTCGAATCGCCAATGATTGCTTCTCACAATCAAGCTAGCTGTGCCTGTTTGGCCAGCTGTGCAAACGCACTCGCTTCGTTCGCAAGCAGCTCGCTCGGGGGTCCATACTCGGCCACGCGACCGTCGGCCATCACCAGAATCTGGTCGCTGTCCAGAATCGTGTCCAGACGGTGTGCAATCACAAGCAGTGTCACGTCGTGACCAAAGCACTCCTTGATGGTTTCTTGGATGAGCCGGTCGGACGCCAAGTCGATGCTGGCCGTGGCTTCGTCCAGCAAGACGACGCGGCTCTTGCGCAACAAGGCGCGCGCGATGCATAGCAG